GCCATATCTAAGATTTTTTTAAAGAAATGGGTCAAAATGATGACCTTTGTGACATAAAATTCCCGTATCGCTGGTCACACTCGAGCCTATTTCTTTCTGGCTGCAGACTGCATCATCAACCACGCAGACACGGACAGGCAATGTGCCGCTTGACCCCTGCGTCAAAGTGCTCTGCAGCCTGCCAGATAAGAGAAAAACATAGAGATCAACATCAAAACTTCTGAATTGTGTTTATTGGATTTAGAAAGCATTCAACATCAGTAAACCTGTAATTAGTAAGTTTTTCAAGAAGATAGCAAAACTCTGAGGTTAGGTCAGAAAGGAGCTTGAGGCCAGCAAGAGCTGATGTGGTATCAAGTATTTTTCTTAATAATCATATTTAAGAACACCCAATCCAGTGACTGACACATAGTAGGCTCTCAGGAAATACTTGTAGATCTGAATCTGTGCAAGGAAGTGAAGAGTGGTGAATAGGAAATCTACTTCCACTTCATTTCATGCAGCCATGTGTAGAAAGGAGCTCTGTAACTCATTTTAGAAAAGAATTCCAGCTTTAGGAAATTCTTGAGTCATTGGATTATAATTGCATTTAGAAGCCTGTGAAGACAAGCCAGAAACCACTACATTCTGGTGAGTAACTTTTTTACCAGGCACTTAGGAAGATATGCATAAAACTATGAACTAATGTGTAGGGTCAGCTAAATGCTACAAATGCAATATCGCCTGGACATCAAGCATGAAAGAGCTCTAGGATAAGCAGCGTCACATGAGGAAAGAGCATCTCACCAGGATGAACTGTGTCTGCCTACTGGCTCTGATGCTCCCCAGCGTTGTAACCATAGGCACATCAAACATCAACAACACATCTGTTCACTACATCTCACTTTTCCCGTCATGAAATGAGGATAGAAATAGAGCTGCTGTGACGATCAGATGACGTTTTGTAAACCTTCAAAATGAGTCACTATGTTGCAATGAACAAGTCCCATCTTTAATAGTAAAGCTTACCTGTCTTCTAGGCAATTGGTAACTCAGAGATGGAAGTTGCTATGGCATTTTGCTCTTTAAACAGAAGACACTCTATATACTCAAGTACCAAAGAATTAAAATCCTAGCATTAGTGCTTCCATCTGCAGGCAGGGAGGGAGAGGGCAGTCTTCACTGAACTAACAATAGGACCAGTGGAAAACCCAGGAAGCAATGCCTGTAATTTCAACCTATGTTGGTCTTTTGAAAGTGGCTGCTTGCAGTTTCTTAAGTAGATAATTATTATTTCCTTCCAAAGTTACGTGATTGCCTACAGTTACAATGACTTGAAATTCTAAAACACGGCCAGATCATGATGAGCAGAGAAGGGAAGCCTGAAGTTCCTCTGGGCAAGTTCTGCCACTGTGTGTGTTGGGAGTCTTGACAGCGAGCTGAATGGTGGAAGTGTGCTGAGGCCCAGGAGAATAGTTGCAGCTTTATGAGGGCCACGCAGTGTGCAGATGAATCTCATGAGGCAGATGACAATAAACCTCTTCCCCAAGAAAGGCAGCGACTAGCAGCGTGCCCTGGACAACTAGTGGATTCACTGGAAATTTGACATCTACCCATTGTGCTCTCTTGGGTTCATGTAAGAGAGGAGCCTTTCTGGTTTTGCCTACACTATGGAGTAACAGCTATGTAATTTTTTATACAAAAATAGAATGGTCTTGTTTTTGTGTTTTCTTTTGTTTTTCCACTTATGTCCCCACGTGGGTATCCGTTATCTATCATCAAACATAAATATCTTCTAATCTTACATATTGAAATGAGTGGGCAATCTTAAATCTTGTTCAACAGAGAATTGGATCAGGATCTGGTTAGTAATAAGAATTGAATTGAGATTTTGGCTGTATTAATGTTTTCTTCATGCAAATGAAATCTGAGAAAAATGCCAGAAAGCCTAGCATAAAATATATTGCATGAAGATATGTCCCCGGATATGTCCAAATGGGTGTTTGAAAAATTTGGAATGCATATTGGAAACCTGTGCAAAGTTATAGATCAGTGCTTCTCTTTGAGATGAGAATTAACGTGGCTCCCAATTTTTGAAACATTCTGTAAAAAAATGTATCAACAAAACACTAAGAATCTACCATTCGTGGGTTTCAGATTGTATCTAAACCTCACGTACCTCTAAGGTTCCTATCAGGATGTAAATAATATTTAAAAACTTCTTTGCTAGCTATTTAGTAGTGAGTGTCCTGCGGAAAAAACAAAGCATTATAAAAACGCTGGAATCCCTGTTATCCATACTGCTTAACTGATTTCAATTATTTTCAGCTTTCCCCTAAAGCCGATCATTTCCTGCTCTGTAGACAGTTTACCATCCCACTCTGGAACTCTAGCCTCACCATAAATTGCGTTATACTACTCTAAAATAAACTTTGCATGTCACAAGACTTTTTATTAATAACACTTCACTTTAAATTGCGTTTAAAACTAAGTGCTACAGCAATTTCCTGAGCAGTAACCGGAATTTACTGCAGCTTGTCTTCATTTGTTGACCTTTCATCACGTACAGTAGATGGATGGCAAATTTCGCCAATTAAAATTGAGACAGTATCTTTTGCTTTTTTTATTACCAACGTTTACTTTGCTTGAAGGAGGCAGTCTATCCTTAATTACTGTCATTGTTTACTTAGGACACAGTAGCAAATCAAATTTCAAAGGAGAAGCATATATTATAGTGAGAGTTTTGAGTTTTCCATGTGCACCGACACCTTCTCTATGCAGGTGGGACGGTGTGTGGGGGTTCTGAAAGCAGACAGGATTTCCACAGCTGCTGGTCTCTCACACCTGTCAAATGGTTCTGGTATCGTTAAAGTTTGTCCTTAAAGAATAAATGAATACAATGATCAAATATCGCCTCTCACATAAATCTTTTCTTATTCATTCTAATTGTGGTATTAATAACTTAAGAATTCTTTGGAGGAGTTAATTCCCAAGCAGAAAATCTTGGGTGTGAGAATTATTTTCCTTGTTAAAAACTCACTTAAAAAAAAATTTTTTTTTTTTTTGGTATAAAGTGAAAGACATTTATAGAACCAGTTTGCCAGATTATTCTTATTTGTGTACTAGACAAGCATGTAAGGAAGCCCCCTAATTAAAAATTATCCCCTCCCCTATGTAAAAAAATCAGAGTATATTGACATTTTTCAGAATGGAACATTTCTCATTCAAACTTGTCTTTTCAAAAATGACAAAAATGAATTCTGGTTAGAATGAGTGACACGGTCAGTTTCACACAGACAGAGCTTAGACGGAAACTTTGTCCTATATGCCAGCTGCTTCTCTAATGAGTGTAATTTAGGTTAATAATCTCCTTGTTTTAAAATAAAAATAATTATAGGGGCGGTTGAGCCTATCAACCAGTCATTCTTTAATATGAATGAATTTAAATTGTTTTCTTCTCAAATCATATCAGTTGCAGAAATGAGAGGACTAATAAGCATTTTTAGTGTAGGGAGAGGATTGTTGGATTTTCTTCATGGAAAATACAGTGTCAAAAGTTGGAAGAAGGAGAAAAGAAGTTGTAGTTAAAAAAACAATGCACATACACACACACATATATACATATTTTTTGTTTGGTATCTAAAGATCCAAAAAAGAGGGGCAGGCCCCAGGCATCCAGTAATACAATCTATTTTGCAATTTTGCTAAAGGCTTTTATGGCAAACTTATTTTATTATTTTTATTTTTTTTATTAAATCATAGCTGTGTACATTAATGCAGTCATGAGGTACAATGTGCTGGTTTTACACACAATTTGAAATATTTTCATCAGACTGGTTAACATAGCCTTCATGGCATTTTCTTAGTTATTGTGTTAAGACGTTTATATTCCACATTTAGTAAGTTTCACATGTACCCCTGTATATTCCAAGTTGCTTTAAGTACATGCTTTCCTTATAAAGATACTATAACACTAAAACAAAGCTTTTTCCTTCTTAGGAAAGGATTGAGGGAAAGACGTGTGAAAAAAGGAAGAATAAGAGCTTATGGTGGCTAAGGCTTGACAGGTTGGGAAGATTGCCAATACCACTGTGGCAGTCACATGTACATGTTGGGACTTAGAGCATGACACCCCAAATTTGAGTGCTTTTTTTTTGAGACAGAGCCTCAAGCTATCCCCCTGGGTAGAGTGCTGTGGCTTCACAGCTCACAGCAACCTCCAACTCTTGGGCTCAAATGAGTCTCCTGCCCCCACCTCCCAAGTAGCTGGGACCACAGGCACCCACCACAACGCCCAGCTATTTTTTGGTTGCAGCCATCATTGTTGTTTGGTGGGTCTGGGCTGGATTTGAACCTGCCACCTTAGGTGTATGTGGCTGGTGCCCCAGCCACTTGAGCCACAGGCGCCAAGCCGTTTTTTTTTAATTTCAATGTATTGTAGGGGTACAAATATTTTGGAGTACTTGGATTGTTATAATGCTCGAGTCAAGGTTGTAAGTGTGCCAGTCACCCAGATAGTGTCCATTTACCTGCTAGGTAGGTTTTTGTCCCATCCCCACATCCCCACCTCCCACTTGATTTCCATGGAGCTTTGATTTCTCGGTACAGATGTGTGCTCCTCAGTTAATAGAGGGTACACGCAGTGCTTGTTTTCCATTCCTGTGATACTTTACTAAGGATAATGGTCTCCAGTTGCGTCCAAATTGTTGCAGAAGGCATTAGGTCATCCTTCTCGGATGAGTTGTAGTCAGGTCACTACGAAAGTGTTGAGACAGGCTATGTCATGGCCCACTATTTCACTTCCAGCACACACAGTCAACAGTGTTTTTTTTCTGACTGACTGTGCAAGTTTCAACTTAGTCGGTTTATCCGTCCTGTGGGGCTGGGAGAGAGCTCCATTTGTTTCTGTCCACATGGATTTTACCTATCATGATTTTTCTGTATCTCAAAACTTTGGTAATGTCCCCTCTATACGTATACCACATTTTGTTAATCTATTCATGCACTGATGAGCACTTGGGGAAAATATGGAATGCTTCATGAATCTGTGCCTCATCATTGCCTGGGGCTGTGCGAATCTTTTCTGTATGTTCCAATTTTAGTATAAAGGCTGCTGAGGTGAGCAGAAGCTCAGTACTTTGAACTAAAGGAGATTGGAAAGGCCCAGAGTAAGAGGTTCTGTGACTTCAGTCTATCCAAATTTTTACTTCCTCTGTTTCTCCAAGTAGGTCACAGAAACTAGAATTCCTTTTCCTCAAGGTGAATCACAGAAAATAGAACTTTTCCTTCCCCCCCAAAAGCCATAAAAGCTGGGAGTATAGGCCACAAGACCCTCCTGTCAGTAGAATGTTGCTCCATACCTAGGTGGGGATGGGGGATTCAAGGCAGATAGGTCTGAAGAAACTGAACAGACAGCAAAATCCCCCCAGTTTATTATTATTAGATTATGCCCTTTTTGTAAATCACATTTCTACTTGTTTCCTCATGGAACATAAACATAAAAATAGAATTTTTCCTGGGTCTTTGGGAGTCTTCCTTCTGACTTTGCATGTGACCTGTCACATGCAAAACTTGTCAAATACATTCGTTACATTTTTAACTTGTTAACCTGTCCTTTATTATAGGAATGTTCACCATGACCCTTGGAATGGGGGCAAAAAGGTGATATTTTTATTTCATACATACATATGGTAGCAGACTCTGAATTTTATCAGGTATATAGCTCATAAAAATGTTTACTCAAAAATTAATTGAACAGTAATTTTCTTTACATGACTATATAGGTTAGTTGGTACTAACCACTAGGCAGTTAGTAAGTAATACTGAATAAACTATAAAAGTTGAAATAAAATTCATAAAAATGGTTTGGCTCAAACATTCCTATAGTGGAGAAAAATTTTTTTTGAAAACTCCAAATTTTTGCAAGCCATGATCTGTTCGTTTGTTTTAACTTTTAAAACTTACTTACTGATATAACCACAGGTCAGAGTAATTTTTAAATCAAAACTTTGTTTATGACTACTTCTATCCATTTTGGTGTCTAAAGATGTAGCCACTATATCAGGCAACATGCATTTGGCTCTCAGTAGCAGAAAACAAGATGAATAGTAACTTATGTAATAAAAAACTTTTTACTTATTCAAAATAAACATTTAATTACTTTAGGAATAAGACCATGGTGGGCAGTCCCAAGAAGATTTCTTTATCCTTCCACACTGCTACGCTTGCCATCTAGGCTTTCGGTATCTGTGCTTCCGTTTCCTTATAGCTGAAAGATAGCAACGGTGGCTCCTGACATCAACACTTCATCTAAATGTGAAAAGGAGGATACAAAACTCATGGAAATAAAACCACCGAAAAGATATCCTCTTGATGACTGTCACAACTAGCTACATATTCAGCTCTAGACCCATCACAGGCAAGAATAGGGCCACAGGCACGGTGGCTTTAGTCTTATTATTAATCATCCTCTGAAACTGGTAAAAGGTAGGCTCTGCCTGCTTCAAAATTGGGCTGTTAATAGAGAAGACAGTCATAAATATAACTATTTAGCAATGATAGTATCTGCCATATTACCACTAGAAACAGAAAAGATAATGGTAGGAAGTCATGGTAGAAAGTGTACTATGCTGTACAACTGTTATTTGGAATAACACAATTAAAATACATTTATTAGTATATGCAGTTTAAATAATTATAGATTAAATAGCCATAAATAATCTTAAGTCACCAACAGATTGGCTTCAACATCAACAAATTATTAGAATATATAAAAATATGAAAATAGTTTGAATCTTGGCTCTGCCTAAATATTTAATATACCTTAAATATTTGGTTGGTTATAGCATTGTATTTGAATAATATTCATATAAACTGCTTAAAATTGACTAAGAATTATTTAGAAGAGACAGACATGTATTAGCTTTCTATAGCTGTTGTAACAAATCATACCTCAATGAAACTCGGGGGATGGGGGGAATTACTACAAACTTAGTGATTAAAACAACAAAAGTATATTGTCTTCTGGTTTTATAGGTCAGAAATCTCATGCGGATCTCACTGGCTTAAAATCAAGATGTTACAGGGTTCTGTTCTATTCTGAGGTTCCAGGGAAGAATCTGCTTTCCTGCCTCTTTCAGCTTCTAGGGGTTGCGTTCCTTGGTTGGGGTCCCTTTCCTCTATCTTCATAGCCAGCTATGTATGGAAGGCTCAGTCATTTTCATGTCACATCTCCACTACTCTTTTTTCATACCCTTACCCATGTCTTTGACCATAGCTTGGAAGGGGTCTGCAATTTTAAACACAATTATCCAGGACAATTTTCCCTTTCCCATGATGTTTTAATTTCTTCTACAAAGTCCCCCCCGCCCCCATGTAAGTAAATGCATGCACGGATTCCTGGGATGAAGCCATGAGTATATTAAGGAGTATGGTGGGGTACTAGTCTGCATACCACAGTCTGTCTTTCTCCCATCCAAGTACTAACCAGGCCTGACCCTGCTTAGCTTCCGAGATCAGACGAGATTGGGCGCATTCAGGGTGGTATGGCCGTAGACCACAGTCTGTCTTTCTAATCTCAATTGCATGACACTTTAGGAGTATACTTTATTATATTGTACTTTATGATAATGCCTTTTAAATGATACTTTAAAAGTTTACTTTATTATTTTGTCTTCAGAATCCCAAAACGCTCACAATTAAATTCATAAGGCACTCATTAGATATATATGATTTTTTTTAAGAAAAATGGTTCTTTGCAAATATACTGGTATTTTATTTGTACACATGTAATATATGTACACCACACAAACATATGCCATAGACATGTCCTCTACACACATACCCCACCTCCTGCTCATGTCCCCCCACATAAAATCTAATAGCACTAATCAGCTTTATCTTTATTTCTAAAAGATTAAATGTTTTATGTCTTGTAAGTATTTATTCTGCGTAATAAGTCTAAAATCCCACTGTTGCCCAAGTCAACAGGAGTGGCTATTCTAACAAAAGAAGGTGAGCAGGAGTGAGATCAAATGAAACATTCACCATAAATCACCTCTGCCGTGGCGGGTCAGGCTGCTTGAAACTTTCCAGCAGATGATAGCACGTCACACCCCACCGTGTGAGTTTACTTTGTCATCTGGACACACAGGAATTTCCTCGCTCCTCTCCTCAGAGACTTTGTCTACAGTATCTGTTGCTCTGAGGGATGCTAGCCATGTTAACATCTTGGAGAAAAAAAGAAGAAAACTTTTTTTTCAAATAATCCAACATCAGAGTAAGAAACATCATCGTGACTTTCACCATATTTATTTTTACTAAGTTTTATTTTGAAAAGTAGACTATTATTGAAATATTGAATGTTTCCACTCAGAATGTTTCAGAAATAAGACATGTTGGATTAGATTTTCATATGAGTGATAGTAATTGATTATACTCTATAGCTAATGATGATTCACTATATATAATTGTTGGCTGGGAGAGATGAATCTATATATGATCAAATATATAGGCTGAATTCAGTATTTTCACTAGTAACTTCGAAAAATATTCTTCATGCCTTTTTTAAAGTTAAATCCCTACCAAATACAACAAGGTAATACATTTTTTTTTTTTTTTTGCTTTTCCATGTTAATCAAAACCTACCTTTTTTCCCCAGAATAGTTACTTTTCAAAAAATGAGAAGTTGAGACAATGACTAAAGTAAGCATCAGACTAACCTAGTGGCTCAGAAGATAGGATTTATTTCATGCTTGAGAGAAGGGTAACTTTTACATAGCATTAAACAAATTAGGAGAAAAAGTTTGTTCAGCATCTGGCATGTTTTTTGCCTCTGATCTCAACATGCATAGTTGTGCAGCCTTTGCTCCCCTAGTGAGAGTTCCATGTTAGAAATAGGCCCCACATGAGTGGTAGATTTTTTCCGAAAACCCAGTGTCAAAAATTACACCCCTCCCTACATAGCTATGCCTCTCTTTTCACTAAAGACTGGACAGTGCTTCCACTTGGCTGGAGTCTGGGTTGGTCCTGGGACTTGCTTCCACTAATACAACATGGTACAATTGGTTCTGTGCCAGTTTCTGAATCTAGGCTTTCAAGATGACTGCTGGGTTTGCTTTCGTTGTGTTGAAGTCCAGGCATCATGCTGTGAGGGAAAGGCCTAGACTTTCCTAGGAGGGAGTGAGGTCACATGGAGGTCAACCAAATACCCACCTGCCAGCCAGCACCAACTGTCAGACTTGGGAACGAGGACTTCTCGGACGCCCAGCCTTGCTGTGCTGTGTTATGCCCGGCTAAAGGCAGCCACATGAATAATTCCGGCTAATACCACACAGAGAAATGCACTAGGCAGCTGGTCCTAGTCAACCACAAAATCATGAAGGAAAATAAAAACAGAGAACATAGTTTTAGGAGACTATGGTTTAAAACGGGTTAGTTAGAAAGTTGTATCAAACTGAAGTACACAGTGAAGCCAAACTCCATTCTCATGACTAACCCTTCTACCAAAAGTAGACAAAGAAATCAAAACCTTAAATATTCCCTAGGATGTCTAGCCAAATTATCTATTATTGTGCTATTGTCTTCGTCACTTTTTATTCATATCAAACCCACTTCTCATTTTCTAAAGATTAACAATGCTGGTAGATTAGTAAAATTGATTTTTGTTCTGTGAAGTGCTTCCATTATCCAAAGACAGAATGAATTGAAATACTGAAGTCAGTTTTCTCTAAAACTGCATTTGCAACATAGTAGCTATGACAGGAGGCCTAAGAATTTGAGCATAAAATGTTTCTGTGAGACTGAAACAGGAAAAAAGGAATCAAGCAATTTGTCCTTATAAAAAGGGGATAGGGAAGCTGAAGTTAGCAGCCCATTCCCTAAGACATGATTTATAAACGGGTTTATACAGGGGCCTAGGATATGCCCGTGCCTGATCAAGGTGACCAGGCTGTAGCCTCAAGTAGTCATGTCTGGAATGTGATTGATGTAAAAGAAAATTGCGGGCTGTTCAATCGTGTCCTACCTTGCTTGACTTGACATAATGGTGCTTGTGGCCACTCAGAAAGAGAAAGAGCACTGCAGAGCGTGAATTTTCAGCATCCATCCAACCCTGTGCAGGGAAAGC